TACCCAGCAACATTTACTGAAAAGAAGCCACACTTTTGACATTGATTTGGAAATGTCCCCCTTAGCTATGGTGGGCCTCTGGTCCTGCAGATCTGTTTCAGCAATTCCAACCATACTCCTTGTCTTGCCTTTTTTTTTGTAATCCGTCCTTGCCAAACTCCCTGGGTGTTACCTATGTTTCTATGTCTGACAAAAAGCAACCTAAGGGAGAAAGCGTTTGTTTTAACTCACAGCTCAAGGTTCCAAGTGCATCACAGTGGGGAAACTGAGGCAGCAGGAGTTTGTAGCAGCTGGTCATTCAAAAGCTGGCCAGGATTGCATGCTGCTGCTTGGCTTCCCCTCCTCCCTACAGTCCAGGATCCCAAATGAGGAATGACTCCACCCACAATGGGGGAGTCTTCCCACATTCATTAAAGCAGTCAATATCATCTGCCACAGGCCTGTCCAGAGGCCCACCTCCCAGGCAAGCCTACAGCCTATCCGAAGGACAGTTAACACCAAGTACCATATCTTCCTGCCAACTTCTTCTTAAATGATGTTATTCTTCCTTTTTCCAGGCAAATATCAAAGGCATGCTGTAAAGTCCCCATCCCCCCAAATCCAATGGACTTTGATTGCACATGATTTACGAGACACATCAGTTTAACAAAGATTACATTTTACAAGACTGATGTCCATCCAGGAGCTTGGTACATCTCTCCATTTATTCAAATATTCTTGTGTATGTTGGCAAAACTTTCTGGCCCACCCGGTCCCACAGCCATTTAGTCCCAAATAATCACACAGAGGCTTATATTAATTATAAACTGTTTGGCCGATGGCTTATGCTTCTATTTGGTAGCTCTCTCTTATTAACCCATTTCTATTAATCTATGAATCTGCACATGGTCTTGGCTTACTGGAGAATGCTTGGGAGTTATACATTCCTGGTAGCTACATGGTGTCCCTCTGCTGACTCACTCTCTGCATCCTCTCCACAGAATTCTCCTTGTCTAATCACCCCACATACCCTTCCTGCCTGGCTACTGACCAATCAGTGTTTTATTCATCAGCCAATAAGAGAAGTGTATACGCAGAAGGACATTCCCCCTCATTCCTCTTCCCAGAATTCTCTTAGTCTGATATCCACACCTATCCTTCCTTTCTGGCTACATCCTGCCTGTCCATTAGCCAAAACAGCTTTTATTCATCAACCAATAAGAAAAACATGTATTCACAGTATACAGAAGAACTTATCCTATCACATGCATCCTTCAGGTTTCCAATTTTGCAACGTTTTCTTTGTTCACTAGTCATGCACATCTTTATTAGATTTGGTTTTAAGTATTTCATTGTTTTGAGTGAATACATGTTCATGTGCAGAGTGGATTTTTTAAACTAGTTTACCCTACTGATTTTTTTTTTATTTCCAAACCGTATCTGGTGGCATCCTGCCAGACTGAGATAGCTACATCAAGCACTTGCATAAACATATCCCTCTAATTCGAGCTACTTTTCCTTATTTTCATTATAAACCCCCTATAGTAATGGTCTGACTTACTGAAGGCTCAGCCTGTCCCATCTTGCATTCATTCATCATGCATCATCAGGATCCTTCTATATCTGCACACTGAGCCAGGACGCAGTGATGGTGACAAGTTGGGTAAGCTATGACTAGGAGGAACACAAGACTGAAGTGTAGCTTGGGCCACATAAGTCTCCCCTCAGAAAACAACACTTCAAATGGGGAATGCAATATTTGAGCACGAAAACAGGTTGGGGAAGAACATTTGGAGAGTGGAGCTCCCTACATTCCAGTCTAAGGAATGGCTCTGAATGGGGTTTTATACAGAAGACAGAGGAAGCAAAGCTGCAGGCATTTGGATCACACCTGAAGATTTTGCATTTTCTCTTAGAAGCATTGAGAAACAAGGAAAGTTTTCATTAAGGCTTTAATCTTAAACGTGCCTCTAAGTTAGGAGAGAACCTGTTTAACTAATACACCTAAAACACAACTCCTGCACCCAAGTCTCAGCCATCATTTCGGAAGAGGGGGTGATTAAGACTGTAAGAGCTGGTAGAACAGGGAGTTTTGCTGTGAGACTGTATCATAGGGTGTCAGAGAGGCCATACCCGGGCAGCCTCATCAATGTGACTGCCTGAACAAGACCTGAATGAGGATGACACCAAGAGTCAAACTACCAGGGAAGGGAGAAAGCTCACTGAGGCCTCAACCCTAGATGTAGAACTGCAGGCAACTGAGGAGTGCTGAGCGCAGATGCAATAGTCTTCTTCAGGAAAAAAACACACCAATGAGTTGTCCAACACCAAATGGCCAACCCTGAAAACACGTATATACAAGTAATATTGTATGGATTAATGTCTTAGTTACGTTCCTATTGCTGTGAAGAGATCGTGGCAACTCTTGTAAAGGAAAACATCTAATTGGGGCTTGTTGTGGAAACCCACCTGGGTCCTGCTGCTGCTTTAGCCCCCAAATAACACACAAGATGCTATATTAATTATGAAGCTGTTGGCTGTTTGCTATGGTTTCTATTGGCTAGCTCTGACTTAATCATTAACCCATAATCACCAATATATGTTTTTATAGGGACTTATCTTTCCGAGAACTCCAGACTTGCGTTGTCTCCTCTGGGGATCACATTGCGACAACTCTCTACATTTCCCAGAGCCCTCCTAGACTTCTAGTCCCACCTATCTTGCTTCCCTATTGAAGAACAGAGCTTTATTTACATATACACAGAAAGACTTCCCTATCATGGGCAGGCTTACAGTTCAGAGGCTTAGTCCATTGTCACCATGGTAGGAAGCATGGTGGCAGGCAGGCAGACATGGTACTAAAGAGGAGTTGAGAGGTCTACATCTGGATCAGCAGGCAGCAGGAAGAGAGAGTGAGACTGGGCCTGGCTTGAGCATCTGAAACCTCAAAGCCTGCCCCTGATGGAAGATGTCATTCTGAAATCTGTCTCTTATTGGTTGTTGAATAAAGCACTGTTGGCCAATAGGGAAGCAAGATAGGTGGGACTAGGAGTCAAGGAGGATTCTGAGAAAGAGAGGCAGAGTCAGACACGATGTAGCTGCCAGACGAGTAAGAGGCCCGGACCCTTTCTCCGGTAAGAGACATACTTAGATTAACAATTATGGGGTAAATACTAAGTCAGAGATAGCCAGTCAGAAACCAAGCAAACAGCCAAAAGTCTTCATAATTAATACAGTGTCTTGTGGTTATTTGGGGACTGCAACTATGGCAGAGTCTAGGCGGCTAGCGGGGAGGGGGGGAGGAACCAAAGTGGCAGGAAAGGAAAAAACTACACTCAACACCCCCCCCCCAGTGATGCACACTTCGACTCCAACAAGGCCACACCTCCTAATTGCTGTGGGAATATTTTATCACACTCAGAACCCTGAGATTGTGCTATCCACTGGAAAAACCTGCGTCTGGGTGTGATATGGATCAGCCCTAGAACATACCTTTAATCCAAGGGCTCTCTACCTGAATATTGCAAACAGGATTAAATGACATCAACTATAGGTCAAGAGGCAGAGCAAGCAACCAGATGACAGGAAATGAACATAGAAAAAAAAATACCTTAGAGAATAAGATCGAGGCAGATGGATAGAGATGCACAGGAAATAGAAGGGAGGGGTGTTGAGTTTGAGAGCCTTATTTGTGACGGCATAGGAGAAGAAAAGTTTCTGCAGCCAGGATTCAAGATGCTTCTTTATTTAGTCTGTAGTCAATGGCCCTGTTGCTTTTGGACATGTGGTACTGTTGTGCCCAAATTCTAACCCCCCCCAAATCACCAAGAGGCCCATTTCAATGCAAAAGCAAAGAGTCTTTTCTTGTAGATGTTTAACGAGCTAAACCCATTAGCTTGGGCCCTTCACCCCGCCACCAAGGCTGATGGTTGGAGAAAGACCCCAAGCAACCTCGAGTCAGGGATCTTAAAGGGCAGCGTAAAGGGAGTGTCTAGGGGTATGAAACAGTCTCAGGATTGGTGCGCTTCTAAGTTTGGACGACCTTCCCTGTGTTGATTGGTCAACAGGTTGTTATGGCCCACAGGCCCTCCCATGGTGGTTACTATGCTCTGCACGTCACTGTTGTGCACTTGTACTGTAAAGCACACCCAGAGCCGTAAAGCACAGCCCCGCCAGCTAACTTCTGATTGGCTCCTTGCCACGAGGAGGTATCCGACCTCCTAGTGACCAGGACAGGACCGGAGCAGCAAGGTCAGATGAGCACATGGTAGCCTGTCATGGCTGCTGAAATGGGGAGGCTGGTCACTACAGTACAGCAGCATATTATGGAAGGGGCTGAGTTGAGTGAGTCCTAACCTGCTTCTCAAGTGTATGCTCACAAAGTTTCCACCACCTGCCAATAGCACCTGGTTGGTTACCAAGCATTGTAACACACATCTTTTAGAGACACTCCAACTCAGCTCACCCACCCATACAAGAGAGGGCAAATAGGATCCTGCATACAGTTGCTGTAGAGTGAAAGCAGCCATCAAAAATGCTTAGATCCTGAGGAAGCTCAATGTGACACAGCCAGGCCCAGGGAAAGAAGCCAGTGTGGCAATGGTTAAGAGGATTTGAGAACCTGACTGGAGTCCTTAAGGCTACAGAGTTTAATTTAGTTATCTTAACCCACTGTAAAAAAATCCTAACATTTTTTTAACTCCATTTCTAATGTACCTTTCTGAAAAGAATTGTGTCATGGCTTCTTAGCTTCCAACAGTGCCAGATATTTCCAACAGAAATCAGCAGGTTAAGTGCACCTGTGGGGTTGAGCCACCGGCCCAGAAGCTCTTGAAAAGAAGGCCTTCCTCTGTTGACAAGGTCAGGCATCTTTCTCCCTCCCTGGGAGGTTTGGGAAGGAGCTTCCTCGGGGCTACTCAACAGGGAGGACTCAGGAGCACACCTGAATCAGCAAGAGTGCCAGGCAGGCACTTACTTCATTTGAAGTCAACAAGATGCATCACTAAGGCGAATGCCATTACCTGTATCCCTGTTGAATGCAGTGTGCCGGATGGCTGCAAGATAATGCCGTCTGACTCCCGGAAGGAGTAAAATCAAACAAGTGGCCATCCTGGGACCTGCGGGTGGAGGACATGAAGGTTACATTCTAGTGGTAGACAGACAAAGGACGGGGCTGAGAGGAAAATAAAACCAGGTGACACCAGTGAAAACGGCTAACTCATGGGTTAAGGTCTGATTAGATCGTTCCCTGATAAAAGCAAGCACTGAGGGAAGACAGTGCCTCAGCAGCAGGTCCCACCCAAGGTAGAATGGGCAGAACTTCCCACTGACTACATGCTAGGCAGAGGTTCTCAGGCAGGGTGTCTAAAGTCTCTGATGTCCCAGAGTTTGACCAACTGCTCAACCAAGTTTTAGTTAGCCCTTTCAGCTAGAGCGCCAGATACATTATGCAGTGTTGTGCCCAAATCTGAACCCCGAAATCACCAAGAAGCCCATTTCAATGCAAAAGCAAAGAGTTTTTTATTAAAGTTATTTAACAAGCTAACCCTATTAGCTTGGGCCCTTCACCCCGCCATGGCGGATGGCTGGAGAAAAGACCCTGAGCAACCTTGAGGCAGGGATCTTATAGGGCAGCGTAAGGGGAGTGTCTAGGGATATGAAACAGTCTCAGGATTGGTGCACTTCCATGCTTGGACAACCTGCCCTATGTTGATTGGTCAACTGGTTGTTACGGCCCATAGGCCCTCCCAAGGCAGTTGCTATGCTCTTGCATGTCACTGTTGTGCACTTGTCCATAAAGCTCACCCAGAGACATAAAGCACAGCCCCGCCAGCTAACTCCTGATTGGCTCCTTGCCACGAGGAGGGCATCTGACCTCCTAGTGACCAGGACAGGAGCAGCAAGGTCAGAAGAGCACATGTTAGCCTGTCACGGCTGCTAAGGGAGGCTGGTCACTACACACAGGGTATCTGGAATAATCGTAATAGATACCTCTAAAGTCATGCATTAGAAAATTCATAATCCCAAAGCCTGGGAACTTCTGAAACCACGTCATTTCTAAGTTCATAAATTTAAGACATCACAGTCAGAGATTGCTTGTACATGTTTCAACCATTTAAAAGCAGGAAGAGGAGACTTATGAGATACTTAGTGGGTAAGAGTGCTTGCTGCTATGCCTGGTGGCCTGAGCTCTGTGGAAAACCACTTGGTGGAAGGAAAGAACTAACTCTCCAAAGTTTCTCTCTAGTTTTCACACACACACACACACACACACACACACACACACACACACACGCATGCATGCACGCACGTATGCATGCATGCACATACATAGAAAATAAATGCAAAAATTAAATTTAGAAAGCCCCAGATTAAAAAAAAAGACAAAGGCAGTATTGCAATTTTACTTTGCACCACAGGATAGCACAGGTGACTGACAGTTTGGCATCTTGCAATGATGGCACCAACCTGTCTACCTGAGAGCAGAGCCTTTCTCTTGTATTCACGGGGGGTGGGGGGGGTGGGGGTGGGGGTGGTGACGACCGTAGTCATCTGAACATGCATATATACTCTGCTTCATTTGACCAGGTTCAAGCAGCCATGATGGTGACCAGAAATTTGGGGACCGGGACAGTATAGAAGTTGCTTCTCTCCTACGAACCTGTCTCAGAATTAGTATTCCAGGACTGGTGTAGAAGGAAATCTCACACCGGGACACAGGCTTCCTCTTTTCTGTCACCCAGACACCCTCAGACAGCTGTCCAGTCTTCACAGAGTTGCTGTGCGGGCTCTGCAGCATACCACGACCACCAAGAACCAGGCACTTTCTTCCTAGGCTCATCCTTTTGACACCTATACTATGCATTTTCGCACTGTCCAAACAGTTTGAATCCCTTATCATCTTTGATCTATGCTTTATATATTCATGTTCTCTTCCATGGCCAGGTAAACATCCATTTATTAATACATATTTTGCTTAAAACCTTCTTCCTGGGCCCAGTGTGGTGGTACATGCCTTTAATCCCAGCACCCAAGAGGCAGAGGCAGGTGGATCTCTGTGATCGTGAGGCCAGCCTGTTCTACTGAACAAGTCCCAGGACAGCGAGGGCTACACAGAGAAGTTTTTGGTAGTGGAGTTTTATTGGTAGACAGGGAGGGAAAGGGGGGTGAGAGGTAACCCACCCATGCAGAGCTGAGAGAGAGATAAGATATGAGAGACAGAGAGACAGAGAGGAGAGGAGATGGAGAGGAAGATGAGAGTAAGAGATCGTAAGCAGGCAGGGGTCAGTCCCTTAAAAGGGTCCTTTGCACCTACATGGTTCTCACAGAACTCTGAGCTGGCCAGAGTGTTGCCTGAGTGCATCCTGCCAGGTAGCAGGGCAGGCCAGCGTAATGCCTGAACCTTTCACTCGGTGCCCTGTAAAGTATTAGTGTTTCGTGTGCTACCCAACTAACTGTTCATTAACTCCATAATCTCTCTTTGTGTGCGCACACGCACACATCCTTGTCCCACAGAGGTCTTCTTGGGCCCCGTTCTGAACAGCCATCATGTCTTCATATGGCCTCCCACACCACAGCTCTCACTCTCAATGGTGCTGGATGAGTTCATCCAAGGAGCAAACAAATAGAAAGGATTGACAACACAACTCACTTTGAGTAGCTGGTCCTTGGTTTCCCTCCTTTAGAGTCCCTTCCTCTATAAAACCGTGGGGCAGACTTCAGCGTCCTCGGCGGTCATTCTACACAATGCTGGCCCAGGATTGTGATCTCAACACAGAGAATGCCGGGGCCTCGAGAGAGGTGTCATTGTCAGGAGGCATCCTCCTTTGCGGGTTGGACTCTTGAGTGCTGCTCTGACTTGTAAGTGCTGTCTCTCCCAGTCCATTAGTGAGCAGCAAGGCCAAGAAAAAGGCAGGAGATGATGTTTAATTTTTCTTGGTCTAGAAACACAAGTCAAGGAAGGAGCAAGCAGCCTCCTTCTCAAGGAGCCGAGGCTTTTAACTATGATGCCTAAGGTTCTTGCCCATGAAAAAGCATTCTCAAAACCTTCAGAAGAAAAAAAAAATCAAGATGGAAATGGAAATAGGGAAAGGGAACAAGCTTAAATCATTAAGACTTTTTTTTTTACCACGAACACATGCGTAAAACAGAAGAAAAACTACTGCCAAATAATGTTTCGCAACTTTAGTCTTTTTTCAATGTGCCCTTTCACAAAAGGAATCGAGAAAAATAGGAGTTAACTGACCAAGGGTCGAGTGTCCAAAATCGTTTTTTCCCCATCGGAGAAGACTGACTAGTGTGACCAGCTACTTCTTAATTCTATGGACTGTCCTCAGAAGGCCGCTATTTACCAAACTTTGCTCAATAGGCGAACTATTTCATTAGCTAAGCACAATTTGTAGATCCTAATCTTCACCTGGAGAAGAAGAATGGCGGCGGGAGGGAAACGAGGGGCGGGGGCTGCGGGGGGCTCGCTTTATTCCCCTCTTCTCAGTCACAGCGAGTATCAGTGAAGTGTGACAAGCCACCTCCACATGAGGATAGCTGGGAACCACCCCGACCAAGCCCTGCTTCTTTTGAGCCCGAAGAGATCAAGTAGTTTGGTGTTTACTCGACGGAGAATACCCTCCCACCCCAATACACCACCTTTGCAAGTAGTAAAAAGCAAAACAACAACAAAAACCCAAACCCAGAGCCTCCTGCAGCAGGGAGCTCCGAGATTTTACCTGTTTTTAATTTATGCCGCGTTTTTGCAATTGTGCCACCTCGGCAGGTGTGACCGCGCTTTCGCAGAGCCTCGGTGCTATTTTACCTGCTTGAATCTGTCAAAAACCCATTTGTATGCGCCCGGCTAATGTGCTAGAAATAAAAGCCCCGACCTGTCAAGCAAACTCGCTGCACCTGTTCCAAGCAGTTAAATTGTCCCATCTGCCACTAGCCCGGGAGATCAAAGGCCCTCCCCAGGAGGGGGCCGGGAACCCCGGCGAGGATGGGTCTCCTGGGCTCGGGGTTTAAGAGGATGGCGAGGAGCCCCGTGGAGAGGGTGCGGGAGCGGGCTACCTGAAGGCGCCTTTGTTCCGCCCGGGCGCCGGGAGCGCATTCTTTCACTCCAGGAACGGCGGGGGAAGACGTTCTTTCAGTCTGCTTTCTTGATGACGTAGTTGGGGCATTCATGTGTTTTTAACCTTGAATAATTTTTGTCTCTAAGCTCCAAACAAGCCTTATCCTGTCCACAGGTCAGTTTTGTTACAGAGGCCAATTAGCAGAGCTACCTTTGCCTGGGGCAACAAGCCAAGCGGTGCAGGAGATGGCGGGGCAGGCCCTAGGAGAGGCGACTAGGAGGAACTCCCGAGAGCTGTAATTTGAAAGGGGGGCCTTTGAAGCATTTACCTTACACGGGACGCCATTGTCACTGCAGGGTGTTTGATCTTAAAATAATTTACTTAATGATCTCACCATGGGAGCAATTGGCAGAGCGAGATTAGGCTGGAAGGCCTAATGGACATGGGAAAAGTTAAAAATTGCTCAGAGAAAGGTATGTACAGACTGAGAACTGTTGGTGTGGCGTGTTCATTACTCCCGGGGGCGCAAAGCCCGGCCACAGCCTTTAGCAATCCACAGTTTATCCGAGGAAAGCTGAGGCAGCCTCTTCCAAATGCCAGCTTTTGTGGGGATTAACGCCCTTGCTGCCCCGCGCTGCCCACCGGAGCCACTATCTTGAGAATCTGTTCGTTCCCCTTTCTGTGGAGGCAAGGTGATTGACAATGTTATCCTGGCCCAGACAGCTTTGTACTCCAGAAAGGAAAAGTTTTAAGTGGGAGTCACCTTTGACATATGTATAAACCATGTCCCGTTTCTTACATACCTGCTAATGAGGCTTATGCGGTCACCGAGAAGATTACTTCGAGACTGGATGCTACCTGGTCCCTGCACCAAGACAGAAGCACTCACTGCACGACCCAATCTTTCCATAAATTTGAGTCTTCTTCGACTCTTCGATGCGTTTTTATTTTAGCTGCCGCAGCCCCTTGCGAAAAGCATCATATTATTCTCAGTTACAGAATCGGGGATGGATTAGTAGTCTAAGAACCGCCATGCTGCTTATGCATTGGATGGTCCAAACTAGAACTGGGAGGGAATAGGCCGAGGACAGTTAGTCTGGGGAGTCCCTGCAATGCAGGTTCATAGGAGAGCAGAGCAAACTCGGGCAGCATGGCGGCATTGTGCTCTTTCTGGAGACAGGGAGGCAAAGCACAGCTAGGGGATGGATCCAAACGTGTTTACAGGTCAGGGCACATTAATCTGGTTTCTCTGGGATCTCTCTTTTGGTAGTGTGATGCGAAAGATGGTGCCATTACATATTAGCCCACGCAAACCAAGTAATTCTGAGCCTGAATCCCAGTTTGCTTGTGCAAAGATGCGGCCCTCGGCCTTTGGAGTCTGTTTCAGGTTAACCTGTCGAGACACACCTGAATATCTTCAGCCACCAAAGCAGAACAGACCTCTTTAGAACTTTTCCTTCTATGTCTTGACTGTACTGAGAAATCAAACAACTTGCTCATGTGCTTCAATAACTTCTGCTGTGAGGAGCGGAACCTCCAGTCTTAATCAAAGTGGATGTGTTGTTCATATTCGGCCCTTGTTAGATGACTTGTTAAAATTAACCTGGAACCGAAGCTTCCTCTCCCGGGCCAAGAATGGCAGCAGTTGGGAACTGGCAACTAGCCAAATGAAGATGCTATGAGGGAAATGAGAAACAGGGTACAGGCGGCTAATGTGGCAATTGAAGAGCTATCACGTGTGGAAACCCCAATAGGTCCTATGCAGAAAACGGAGGTTCAGTCTTGGGCTCTGAACGTACTTGTCCTTCTCCGCAACCGGTCTTCTCTGTGTGCAGTGGGCAAATCTGAAGGCTAAGACTGTTTGTGGAGCTCTGATCCTTCTGGAGAATTCTGTGGAGAACACACACCGAGCTCCATCCTAGGCGTCCTGCATCCTGAGTAGGCTGGCAACAACGGGACAGCTTTTTCTCCATCTTTTCTTCTTTTCTCTTTGCATTTTCCCCCAATACTTCCTTTAAAGGAATTCCAGTTGTGTTTGTCAGGAGGGGTTTAATCACAATTTAGAAGACAAGAAGGGAATAGGTTATTCCCACCAAGAGCTATTGAGGGCCTAGAGAGATGGCTCAGCAGTTAAGAGTTACTAGCTGCTCTCCCAAAGGACTGAGTTCAATTCCCAGCATCCACATGGCCGCTCACAACTGTCCGTAACTCCAGTTCCAGGGGACCCAACACACTCACACAGACATATGTGGAAGCGAAACACTGATGCATTTAAAAAATAAAATTATATATATACACACACACACACACACACATTTGAAAAAGAGAAAGGAAAGGGAATAATTAGGAAAGAGTTATGAGATCTGGAATGATCAACATTTTGAATAACACTCAGAATTATTCCTTCACTAACACCGTTCCCCTCCTCTCTCTTTCTCTTTTGTTCTGCCACACCTCATCCACCTTCCATGTGTCTCTCCTTCCTCTCCCCCTGCTAGCTTGTTTTAATTGTCATTTCACTCTCCTACAATGTCATCAGTCTCGCTCACACACTCTTTCTCCCCCTCCATAAACTCTTCCTTCCTCTCAATCTCTTCCAGGGTCTAAATGAAAAGATCAGAGTCTAGCGTATGAGTATTAGCCATCTTCTAAAAATGAAGAGAAATCATCCATCAGTAATGGTTCACTTCTCCAAGCCAAGGCTGCAAGTTGTTAGGCTTGTTCACAGAAGTTACCAATCTGCTGGGGACATGGAGGTCAAGGCCTGCACTTGGCTGGTTGGCTCTCACAGAGCCAGCAGACACTGCTGAGCCACCCTGCACAGGCTCACACAGCTAGCAGCGGGAGGCACAACTGCTCTGTCAAAGTTAAATAGCTGCACTCTCGCTGAAGGACAATCAGAAGGAGAGGGGTGAAAAGACTAGAGGTCAAGCCACTCACCCACCCCCTCCCGCCCAGCTCTCCTCCCCTCACCTGCTGATTGCAGGGCTGAGTGTCAGGTACTCCCATTGGCCTAGAACCATCATCTCATCCAGAAGACACATAAATTCCACCCAGGTAGTTCTAAAAAAAAAAAAAACCACCCAGCTGATCATTCAATTTATATACAGTATCAAGTGTTCATTTCAGAGCTGTGATTTCAGTCCGACTGACCTACCAGTCCTTGACATGTGCCGCGCGCCGGAGCCCTCCAAGATGTAAGAGTTTAACTTTTTAGTACTCGCAGAAAAAGCAATTGAAGTTCATTTCTCGCAGATTACAGGCCCATCAGAAATGAAAATATCTCCAAGCAGCCAGCAGACAATTTTCAAACGCCCATCGCTGTCGGTAGGGTGAGCCTGTTTGGTGCCCGCTGGACAGCACGGGTGGCCTGGGACTTGCTGTGAGGGTCTTTGTGCACTGTCCCATTAGGGTCTCTGAGAACACATGTCACCAGGAAACAGGTGTTGCCAGGGTTGCGGTAAGGCTTTTATTTCTAGAGTCTTCTCATATCCCGTTTCTCTTTTATACAGTTGGCAGAAGCAATGTGGGACCAGGAGGGTAACTGGTGGTTTAACCCCAGATTGTATGTGGCTTCTAGGTAGGCAGCTACTGCACTTACTCGAGCTGGAAGCGTCTTTGTTAGGCTACGCCAGAGGAGACCTGCTGAGGAAATGGGCAATGTGCTGTGCAGTGTTCTGCACAGTTCCATGCCTTTCCTCCTCCGTCCCACAGGGACATCATAGCTGCTTCCGTTCTCTGTTCCCACCTTGGCAGTGGGCACTGCTCAGTCTGAATCAAGTTCCCAGGAATCTTGGAGACATGAAAGATAACTAATCCTCCCCCCAGAACTCCAAAGGTAACTTTAAGTCAATACACGCAATACTTTTGAAGTATTGAGCCGGTGTTTTCAGAAATCCCGTGCCCAAGAAGATAGAAAGCGCTAGAGAGTTAGTCACCTGGCCGAACACCATGTTCTCTCTCTCTCTCTCTCTCTCTCTCTCTCTCTCTCTCTCTCTCTCTCTCTCTCTCCCTCCCTCCCTGCCTGTCTCCCTGCCTGTCTCCCTGCCTGTCTCCCTGTCCCTCCCTCTCTCCCTTTCCCTCTCCCTCCCATGGCTTCAGTTTAAAGGGGGGAGAAAAGATTTGGAAGATTTGGCAGGACACATTTTTATGTCTTTAAATGACAAAACAGACAAACAAACCCAAAGCACCCAAGTTCTTAGAGATCACTTCGAACAGATCCTTCTCTCCCTCAGAGTGACTGCCATGCAGCAATATCTGAACTGATAAATTCTAAGACTTCAGCCTGATTGTGTCAATCACGTGACCTTAAACAATCTTTCATCTTTCAACCATAATTCCACTCTCTCACCTCAAGGATAGATATCAGCAGCAATGTGGCCTTAACATGAAAACAATCAAAGCCCTTATCTGTTCCAAGTAGATATGGGGGGGCAGTTCCAAGTAGATATGGGGGGACCGGGATGGGGGAAACATTTCCTTTAGGTGTAGCACCAGGCATGGGCTGGTGATTTACAATGCATACTTTCGGAATAGCAAGTAATAGTTGTAAACACAAACCAGTGAGAGGCAGAGGCGGGAGGATCAGGAGCTTGAGAGTAGGTCCTGCATCATGTGATAAGTTAGAGGCCAGCTCAAGCTACAAGAGACACTGTCTCAAAAACACGAGGGCTCTTAAAGAAGCACGCATCGTAGGGACTCCAGCCAAATCCTGTAACCCCTGGGAAGTCAGCGTCTAGTGTTTCAAGAACTGGACTTCTATTTGGGGTTGTCCC